CCACCTTAGGTGTATGTGGCTGGCGCCTTAGCCGCTTGAGCCACAGGTGCCGAACTGAGGAAAGAAGAATTATAGCAACTTTCTGGTTATCATCTAGGAAAAGAAGGTAGGAAATGTATGTAGACCACGAGCAATAACAGTTTTAACATTCTGAAATTCAGGAACCTTTAGAACAGTCCTTACATTAAATATTCTTGACAGCCCACTTCAGAGCAATGTAAACCATAAAACGAGACAAGACTCATATGCTAGTTTTGTTTCTTTCTTTGGCTTGTTTGGTAGTTTTTGTTTTGGGAGGGAGATAACACAGCAATAGAGAGAGTTTCTGCTGTATACCTCATTTTGGAGGAGAGGAACCTCAATACATGGGGTTAATGGCAGAAAAAATTGATGTGAGGGAGCCTGAGGAGAGGAAAGGGGTAGGGGGGCAGGCATGGGGTAGAACCCATTTGACTTGTGGCATCTGACAACCTGTCTAAATCTAAGCTCTTCCCCTCTTCTCTAGCAATCCAGAACCCCTTCTCCTTCTGTATTAATAACAAGAAAATTACCCTTTGTCAATAAACATTTGTTAGGCACCTCTACCCTCAACAAACTGAGGGAATATAAGCTACATAATATGAGACAGTCTCTCTCTCTCCCTCACCTTACAGTCCAGCTGGAAAGAAAAATCACAATGCCTAACTCTTGTCATCCCAGTGCTGTATGTGCTGGAATACCCAGAGCAGAAGTTCAGTAGTACTATCACCAGGCAGACAAGCAAGTCATGTAGAGTGCTTTGCAGTGTTTGCTTCACTGTCCCTTTTGCTCTGTATTCACCTCACTATTAAGAACCTTATCACGGCTCCCTATCTGCCTTCCACCCTGCCCCTACAGCTAGATAAAATTTCCGTCACCATCTTCAGTGTCCCTTTCCTTTCTTACAGTTGCTCCACATCACTCATGAGACAAAGCCCCAAAACTGCACAGCCCCTGGGATGTGGCTCGTGTAGGGCTGGAGTTCAGTGCCCCCTACAGTTTGATGCCCACTTGCTTCGTCCTCCACACCCCACCTCAAGACATACACATGCACGGAAACTCTGCTCTAATCAGGCCATCTCTCCACTGCTCCCCCAAAGATCTATGAACTGCCCACCTCCAATAACCCTTCCTGCTCCTTTAAGGCTGCCCCGCCACAGGCCCTATATAAAGTCTTATGTAAACTACATACCACCATGGCCTTCCCTCCTCAGGGCTCCCACGACCATCATTATCTGCTCTACTCATGATACGTCTGCACTGGGGCACGCTGAGTTTAAGGAGATAGCAGTAAACTGAAGTATAAATGCCCAATAGGCAAATGCAGATGCTGGACAGTCAGAAGGGCTAAAGTGTGGAAGTTTACAGCACTAAGACCCTAAGTAAGCAGGAATGCAGAGAGAAAAGCAGGGAGTCAGGGATTGAACTCTACACCCAATACTCCTTTCAGAGTAAAGAGAATATTGGACAAGAAGAAAAAAAAAAGAGCAGATATCTTCCTTAGTAGGGGTAACGTGCAAAATGGGAGAAAATTAAAATAGAATTATTAACTTTATTCATAATTATAGAAGAAAAATCTTAAATAGCCAAGTATGGATGAAGGTAACCACTGTAAAAAAGGAATCAGAGGTGGGTGGGGGCAGACAGTGTTATTTTTTTATTAGAAGGGCTATAAAATTCTATTATCTTTTTTAAACTAGGGATGTGCATTACTTTAAAAAAAATACAAATTGACCTTTTTTTTCTGAGACAGGGTCTTGCTCTATCACCCATACTAGATGGCTGTGGCATTGTCATAGTTCACTGCAACCTCAAACTCCTGGGCTCAAGTGACCTTCCTGCCTCAGCCTCCCCAAGTGGCTGGGACTATAGGTATGAACCACCATGCTCATGCCAAATTAAACTTTTTTTTTTTTTTTTAGAGACAGAGTCTTACTTTATTGCCCTTGGTAGAATGCCATGGTGTCACAACTCACAGCAACCTCCAGCTCTTGGACTTAGGTGATTCTATTGCCTCAGCCTCCCGAGTAGCTGTGCTTGGCTATTTTTTTGTTGCAGTTTGGCCAGGTTTGAACCCACCACCCTCAGTATATGGGGCCGGCACCCTACTCACTGAGCCACAGGTGGCACCCCAAATTAAACTTTTCAAAGAGAGCAGAAGTGTACTGAAAACTGGCAAGAAAAGGGAAAGATGCAATTATTTATCTTTTTTTTTTTTGAGACAGAGTCTCACTATGTCACCCTCAGTAGAGTCCTGTAGCATCACAGCTCACAGCAACCTCAAACTCTTGGACTTAAGCAATTCTCTTGACTCCGCCTCCCAAATAGCTGAGACTACAGGCCCCTGCCACAACACCCAGCTATTTTTTGGTTGTAGTTGTCATTGTTGTTTGGCAGACCCACATACATTGCCAGCTCCAGTGTATGTGGCTAGCACCCTAGCTGCTAAGGTACAGGTGCTGAGCCACAATTATTTATCTTAATTCTTTTCTTTTCTTTCTTTTTTTTGGGGGGGGAACAAATAAAGGTCTGAAAAAAACTACTGTTTTGTTTTTTTCTTAATTTTACAGGAATAATCCAGCTAATAAATGAAAAAGGAAAGATAGACTTGGGAGGTCATCCCTTTGCAACCTCTAATGAAATAATGAATCTAGGCACTGATCAGCTGTTAACATACAAAACGAGTCTGACAGTGGAGGTGGGAAGCATATAGAGATGAAACAAAATTGACCATGAGTTGATAACTGTTTAAAGGCTTAGTGATGGGGCTTTATACTCTTCTCTCTATAATTGACTATATGTTTGAACTTTTCCATAGAAAAGTTCTAAATAAGGAGAACAAAAGATGAACCATGTAAGAAAAGATAAATTTAGTGGAGACTCCAAGGAGATCCTACTTTCCCCTTCCACAGTTGGGACACAACAGGGTCTTAAACTGCCAATGTCAGAGCCCCTATTCTCCTCACCTGGATTTGTGCAGCCAGCTTCTGGATCTCCAGGCCCAGTTGCTGCTCTACCTCCAGAGCCAAGCTTTCCTCTGAGGCCAGGCTAGAAAGAGTTTTTGCCTCTTGCAATAGAGGCTTTGGGTGGAAACAGGGAGTGAGTGCTCACCTCAGCCCATGCTGCTCCCTTCCCCACTCCCCAGCCACTCACAGGTAAGTCCTTTTGAATCAGAAGCAGGAGGGAACCTGGGGCCCATGCTGCCAAGTACTGCTGAGCTCTGCCCAAGAACCAGAGCAAGGTGGTATGCAGAGTACAGAGTCCCAGGGCAATGGGTGAAGGACCTGCGGAGGGGAGAAGCAGAGTGAGTAAGTAGGGGTCATGGAGTGCCTTTGGAAGAAGGTGGGCTTCAGAACAGGGTGAAGGCAAAAGGGATATGCTTAAATGTTCTTCTGTCCCAAAGCCCCTTGTCTTACCTAGAGGCTGACAGATGATCAGTGGTGACTTGGGTTCTCGAAGGGCATCCAAGAGAGGAGGAAAGATCTGTTGCAAAAGTTCAGCAGTACACGAGGACGAGGGAAGGCTGCTCTGATCCCCAAGACCTGATCCCAAGGCCTGGCAGAAACCTAAGGATGAGGATATAGTCTAGGCGGGGAAAGGCAATGTGGGGACTTGTTCCCCACCTCCCCATGTCCCTTCCTTCTCACCTTGGTCCCATCTCCAGATAAGAGACTGATGAAGTAGGCTGTGACACAAATAAGTCAGCTCCTTCTCACACTCTTGAGGCAGGGATGCTGGTGAGAGAAATGACTAGAGCCTGAAAAGAAGGCCTCACTTTCCACAACCCCTGCCCACTCGGTGATGGGAAGAGAGGGGAGGCTTCCTCCAAGACTCAAGACTGGAATGGAAAGTAAAACTTTGCCTTGAAAAGCCCAACAGCTACAGTCTAAACCCAGAAAGTGTTCGTTCTGATGGGCCTGCCTTTCCAGTCGGGTTCACAGATAAAGGGGCTGACTAGGGGGAAGGGAGAGACCCCAGCTTTCCCAAACTCAGGCCATCACTCACCCTGACCCAGTGCCTGACGGAGCTGTTGTGCTGCTTCCCTGGAGTCCCTCCAAGGTCCTAGGTTTAGGTCCAGACTCTGAGCGCAAGTTCCCCACAGCAGGGTCCAATATTGGCTCCACAGGGCTCCAGCCCCTCCAAGCCCCGGGCTACAGCCTGGTGAACCCGTCACCCTCTCCACCAGGCCCAGGATCCCTGGTAGCAGCTCCCGCTCCTCGTGGCACCACCTGTGGAGCTGGTCTCGCAATCCCGATTTCCTGAATGCTTCATCCAGCCGACTAGCCACCTGACAACCCCGCTCCCGCGTCAAGAGACCGAGCACACGGACCGGGGGGAAAGGGCGCGCAGCCCCTGGGACGTGGCTCATGGCTTTTCCCTGCAGCCTGTGGTAGGCGGGAAGTGCTAGCAACAGGTCGGCGAGTTGGGACGACAGGCCTGGGCTGGCGGGCTCCCGTCCCAGAGCGCGAAACTCCATCTCGATGGCAGCATCCAGGCGTTGCGCAGCTAGTCCGATGGGGCGCGCCAGAAGTAGCGGCTCCAGAGGCTCCTGAAGGCCGATGCCTCGGACAGACCCTCCGGAAGGGTGCAGCTGCAGGTCGTGGCACAGGTGGGACAAGGAACTAGGGCCGCAGGACCGTAAGCCCAGACTCGGGGTCCTCAGGAGACGCACTGCCGCCTGTAGGAGGCGGGCGTAGTCCCGGGCTTGGAGGAGCTGCTGTCGCTCCTGGTACAGCCGCAGCAACACAGCCCGGAGACGCTGTAGCGAGGGAGGGATCGGGCTGCTCACTACGGGTTCTCCCCTCCAGTCAGTAGCATCAGCCTCGTAGTCCTCCCCTAAGTCCTCCAGGAACCACGGCTTCCCTCCTGGAGCCCCGCCGGGCCGTGGGTCCAGGCAAGCGATGCTTCTGGCAACCGGTAGCCTTGGCCAGCCACGGAGAGCGTCCGCCCGCCTTCCTTCCCCCGGCCCCTCCCCAGCGCCCGCGGGTTGCACCCACAGCGGGGAAACCGTAGCGAGTGGAGGCAGAGGGCCACCAGAGCGAAATGTGTGGGCCATGGGGCGGCGAATCCAGGACGAACCCAACGGTTCCCACTTCCCGGTTTGCCCCAACGCCCTCGGTAGCCGGAACTCCGCCCCATCCCTAGGACTGTCATCACTTGCCCGGGAGCCTCGGGAACCCTCTTGGACTCTCTGGCGCTCCGTAATTGAAGGCTTCAGCCCCTAACAAAGATGGCTGCCTACCCTGCCCTACCCCGCCCTTTGGCCGATATCAAATACTAGACTATCTTTCACTTTCGGGTCACTGTTAACCGAAGATGGAGCCGACTCCGAAGACTGTAGGGCGAATCAACCTAGGTGAGACGGAAGGGGGGGCCAGGCGGGCAGAAGGAGTGCCATTTGGGTCTGCCTGTAGTCTGAACGTTCTCAGGATTTAATGCTTCAGGCGGACTGCGAAGAGCTCCGGCCTATCCCAAGCCTCCTGACGCGACACAGTCTTCCTTTCCTGTAGACTGCCCTCTGCGATCTGGGTGCCCGCTGGAGGTCGCTGCTGTACCCAAACTCTGCAAGGAGTTCGGTCCCGAGGACTACGGCGAAGAGGTAAAAAAGAAGCTTTCAGTTTCTCCGGATCCCGCCCATCTAGGTCACGCCCCTTTTCAATCAGCTATGTAGAGACCACAGACTGGCCTGCGCAGAGCGCAGGCTCTGCTTTCCGGACTTGAGGAACACGTAGCCTCCGGCTGTGTACCTGAGCGTCTTAGGCAAATGAGGGGCGGAATCAGGCAAGACAATCCTGCGGTAGCAAATGTTTGAAGTAGGCCGAACTAAGCAGACAAGGGTTTCTGAGTTAAGGATTGGGGAGTGGGTACGAGTTCCTTGGGGAAAGATAGAAGACGAAGGGGACAGCGTGAACAAAAATGCTAAAGCCAGAAAAAGTTAAGAGAACTTCACTAAAGTGAGACCAGAGTGGAAAGTTTTCTTGGAACAGTAAAAGACTGGGGCGAGAGAGAAGGAAGCAAGGGGCTGGAAGGCCTTGGCTGGCACGGAAATTTGAATGTCCTCTAGTAGGCAACAGGTTGTTGAGAGAGGCACAAGATCAGATTTGGGAGTATTCAGAATCTATACTTCCAACTACTTCGCTGTCATCCCTAGAACCTCAAACTCGACAAGTCCAAAAGTTATTATAATTTATCAAGTTGACAAATTGGTTACTTTTCCTTTAATCCCAAATCTGATTAATAATACAAACTTCTATTTTATTTTATTTTTTTAGAGACAGAGTCTCACTTTGTTGCCCTCAGTAGAGTGCCATGGCGTCACAGCTCACAGCAACCTCCAACTCCTGGGCTTAGTCAATTCTCTTGCCTCAGCCTCCCAAGTAGCTGGGACCACAGGCACCCACGACAACGCCTGGCTATTTTTTGTTGCAGTTTGGCCAGGGCCAGGTTTAAACCCACCACCCTCAATATATGGGGCTGGCGCCCTAATCACTGAGCCACAGGCACCACCCTCTGTCTAGTTTCTTAATTGAGAAATCTGAGAATCAGTTCTTTCCTTCCTCCCTCCTTCCTTCCCTTCCTTCCTTCTTTTCCTTCCTTTCTTACGGTCTCACTCAGTTGCCCTGAGTAGAGTAGGTGGCATCATAGCTCACAGCAACTTCAAATACTTGGGCTTAAGTGATGCTCTTGCCTTAGCCTCCTGAGTAGTTGGGACTACAGGCACTGGCCACAACCACAGCTATTTTTAGAGACCAGATCTCCCTCTTGCCCAGGCTGGTCCCTATCTCTTGAGCTCAGGTGATCCATGTGCCTCAACTTTTCAGACTGCTAGGATTACAGGCCTGGAATAATTTTTTTTTTTCTGAGACAGAGTCTCACTATTGCCCCAGGCAAGAGTGCATTGGCATCAGCCTAGCTCACAGCAGCCTCCAATTCCTGGGTTCAAGTCATCTACCTGGTTCAGCCTCCCCAGTAGGTGAGACTACAGGCACCCACCACACTGGGCTACTTTTTCTAGTTTTAGTAGAGATGGGATCTCAAGTATCTTGCTTTGCTCAGGTTGGTCTTGAACTCCTTACCTCAAGTGATCCTCCCACCCCTGCCTCCCAGAGTGCTAGGATTGCAAGTGTGAGCCCCCATGTAGGCCTAAAATCTACTTCTGAAATGTCTGTTGAAAGAAACCCTTCATTTCTATTCCTGCTCTTATAATTCAGGGACTCTTTCCCTCTGACTTGAACAGTTGCAATGGTCTGCTAACTAAACATTCCATCTCCACATCACCTTGTAATCCTAGCACTCTGGGAGGCCAAGGCAGATTGATCACCTGAGCTCAGGAGTTGGAGAACAGCTGGGCATGGTGGTCGGCACCTGCAGTCTCAGCTACTCAAGAGGCTGAGGGAGAAGGATTGCTTGAGCCCAAGAGTTTGAGATTGCTGTCAGCTATGATGTTACGGCACTCTAGCCTAGGACAACAGCAAGACTCTGTCTCTAAATACATATATGCACAAACAAACAAACATTCTGTCTATAATCTCATCTCTTAGTACTATTTTTCATTTTTTCTTTCTTTTTTTTTTTTTGACGGAGTCTCTAGCTGTTGCCTTGGGTAGAGTGCTGTGGTGTCACAGCTTACAGCAACCTCAAACTCTTGGGCTTACGTGAGTCTCTTGCCTCAGCCTCCCAAATAGCTGGGACTACAGGCGTCCAACACAACACCTGGCTATTATTTTTTTTCTTCCAGTTGTCATTGCTGTTTTAGCTGGCCCAGTCTGGGGTTTGAACCCTCAGCCTCTGTGTATGTGGCCAGTGCCCTACCCACTGAGCTACAGGCGCCGTCCTTAGCACTATTTCATATGAATGTTTCACTGCCCAGGTAAAGTCCACTCCCATCACTGATAAGATGAAGTCTATATTCCAGACAGGTGCAGTAGTTTATGCCTATAATCCAAACACTTTGGGGGGGCCTATGCAGGAAGATCACTTGAGCCCAGGAATTTGAGACCAGCATGGGCAACAGAGAAAACCCCTTCTCTACAAAAAAATTTTAAAAATTATATAGGTATCACAGTGTACAGCACACCTCTTAGGGGTGGGACAGAATTATAAGAGGAACTTTAACAAATGCAATCACTGTTACCTAATTCTTTGTACACTCAATGAATCCCAAACAATTAAAAAAATTATCCAGGTATACCAGCCTGAGCAAGAGTGAGACCCGGTCTCTAAAAATAGGCATTGTGGCAGGCACTGTACTCCTAGCTACTCGGGAGGTGGAGGCAAGAGGATCACTTGAGCCCAAGAGTTTGGGGTGCTGTGAGCTATGACCGCCATAACACTCTACCAAGAGCAACAAAGTGAGACTCAGTCTCAAAAAAAGGAAAAAATATCCAGGTATAGTGGAATGTGCCTATCATCTTAGCTATTCAGGAGACTGAGGAGGAGGATTGCTTAAGCCCAGAAATTCAGGGTTACGATTGTGCCACCGTACTTCACCTGGGCACCAAAGCAAGACCTTTTCTCTTAAAAAATAAAAATAAAAAATAGAAAAGAAAACATAAAGTTCATAGTCAATAAGTCATATGAGTTTCTTCAAACATAGTTCTTGGCTCTGTCTCTACCACAATAGCCTCTGCACCAATCTCGTTGATCACTCCCCACACACTTACTGAACACCAAGTGTGTACAAGACACTTGTAGGGACTGGAAAGGCAGCAGTAAATGAAACAGGCAAAAATCCTTCTACTTAATAAATTCTGTCAAGTTGCTTAATTGAGAAATGAAGTGAAATGTTCCACTTCGCCCTTAATGTTTTTTTTTTTTTTTTGAGACAGAGCCTCAAGCTGTCCCCTGGGTAGAGTGCCGTGGCATTACAGCTCACAGCAACCTCCAACTCCTGGGCTCAAGTGAGTCTCCTGCCTCCGCCTCCCAAGTAGCTGGGACCACAGGTGCCCGTCACAACGCCCGGCTATTTTTTGGTTGCAGCTGTCATTGTTGTTTGGCGGGTCCAGGCTGGGGATTCGAACCCGCCACCTTAGGTGTACGTGGCTGGCGCCCTAGCTGGGTGAGCTATAGGCGCCGAGCCGTTACTGTTTTTTAATGTAAATGTTTATTACTGTTTTTTAAAGTGACTACCTCCACTAGTCAGTTGTCAAATATTAGAAGTGCCAAAAAAAAGTAAGGAGGAGGATAGAGAGGGTTGAACAGAGTTGAGAGGTTTCTCCTTTTAAAAGGGGTGATCAGGCCAGGAGCAGTGGCTCAGGCCTGTAATCCTAGCACCTCTGGGAGGCCAAGGCTGGTGGATTCCTTGAGCTCAGGAGTTTAAGACTGGGAGGCTGAGTTGGGTGGAATGCTTGAGCTCAAGAGTTCAAGACCAGCCAGAGCAAGAGTGAGACCCCCCTCTCTATAAATAGAAAATACTTTATATTGTAGTAGGCATCTGTAGTCTCAGGCTAGAGAGACTAGAGGATTGCTTGAGCCCAAGAGTTTGTACCCAGTAGCGAGGGAAGATAAATTTAGTGGAGACTCCAAGGAGATCCTACTTTCCCCTTTTTGAGGTTGCTGTGAGCTTTGATGATGCCCTGGCACTCAACCCCAGGTGACACTCTGTCTCAAAAAAATAAATAAATAGCCGAGTGTGTTGGCTTACACCTGTAATCCCAGCACTTGCGAGGCTGAGGTGGATAGATTGCCAGAGCTCACAGGTTTGAGACCAGCCTGAGCCAGAGCAAGACCTCATCTCTAAAAATAAGTGGCTGTTGTGGTGGGTGTCTGCAGTCCCAACTACTTGGGAGGCTGAGGCAAGAGAATTGCTTACGCCCAGGAGTTTGAGATTGCTGTGAGCTACGATGCCACGGTACTCTACCAAGGGTGACAAAGTGAGACTCTGTCTCAATAAATAAATTAATTAATTTAATTAAATTTTTAAAAAGAGTGATCAGACAAGGCCTCCCTTGTGAAGGTGACATTTAAGCAGAGACCTAAAGAGGACAAAGGAGCAAATCAATCACTGAGGAAATAGCACTCCAGGCAGAGGAAATAACAAGTGCAGAAGCTCTGAGATGGGAGCACTGTTGGTATGTTGTAGGAACTTGAAAGGATACCACAGTGGGTGGAGAAGGGTGATAAGAAGGTGGGAGAAGATTCACAAAGATATTAGGGGACCAGATTAAGTTTGGCCACGTAATGAACTGAGAGAGTGGCATAAACTATGTTTTGGGAGACATAGGAGAAGGTCAGTGGAGTCCTTTTTCTTTTTTTTTCCTAAGATGGCTGGATTGGTTTGAGTAACAGGAGAGAGTCTGAAGATGTAGAAAAGATAGTAAATGCAGTGTCTAAAAAGGCAGTCACCATACATAGGGGAAATGGGAAACTGTAGCATAATGTACCTTTATTTAAAAAATATTCATTACAAAATTTTACAAAGTGTTTACAAAGTATTCTCTATGTGTTGGCCACCTCTTTCTATACATAGAGGAAGTCTTCTGTCTTACTCATGGCAAATATGCTCCAAGATATCTGTTGTTATGTAATTTTTCCTGTGTGTGGCAACTTGTAGGACATCCTGTACATTTGAGTGGCACATCCTGGGGAGGCTACCTAAGATGGGGCCAAGACACGCATTATTTATGCTTAAGTTCCAGTTAAGAAGTTGAAACAAGCCAAACAGAAATTGAATTTAAGAATAAGACTGATGAGAGTACCCAGCAGTATAAATGAAGATGTTGCTGAGTCAGGACTACTCTGCCCGAGGCAGGGGTGGTGGTGCGGATCTAAAATTGTTTAGAAAGTTGAGTATATTTCAGTGATCTGAAATCCTATCTACATTATTATTTTAGTATCTTTAGTATCTAAGTTTGTGGCTTTTAACTCCACAAGTCCATTCTTTGTTTACTATATGGCCAAACTTTTTTTTTTTTTGAGACAGAGTTTCACTGTGTTGCCCTTGGTAGAGTGCCATGGCATCACAGCTCACAGCAACCTGAAACTCTTGGGCTTAAGTGATTCTCTTGCCTCAGCCTCCCAAGTAGCTGGGACCATAGGTGCCTGCCACAACGCCCAGCTATTTTTGTTTTTTGTTGCAGTTGTCATTGTTGTTTAGCTGGCCCAGGCAAGGTTTGAACCTGTCAGCCTCAGTGTATGTGGCTGCTATGGGTGCCGAGCTTCAAACTCTTTTTTTTTGAGACAGAGTCTCACTTTGTTGCCCTTGGTAGAGTGCTGTGGCTTCATAAATCACAGCAACCTCAGATTCTTGGGCTCAAGTGATCCCCTTGCCTCAGCCTCCTGAGTATCTGGGACTAGAGGCACCTGCCACAATGCCCAGCTATATATATATTCTTTTAAAGACAAGGTCTATGGTGGCACCTGTGGCTCATTGGGTAGGGCGCCGGCCCCATATACTAAGGGTGGCAGGTTTGAACCCTGCCCTGGCCAAACTGCAACAAAAAAATAGGCATTGTGGTGGGTACCTATAGTCCTAGCTAGCTACTCAGGAGGCTGAGACAAGAGAATCACCTATGCCCAGGAGTTGGAGGTTGCTATGAGCTATGATGCCATGCTGCTCTACTGAGGGTGATAAAGTGAGAGGCTATCTCTACAAAAAAAAAAAAAAACGAGGTCTCGCTCTTGGTCAGGCTGGCCTGGAACTCATGAGCTTATATAGTCCATCTGCCTCGGCCTCCCAGAGTGCTGGGATTACAGGCATGAGCTACCGCACCCAGCCTTCTATGGCCAAACTTGATATGGCCCTAATATATTTATGAACCTTCTCCCACCTGCTTGTCACCCCCCTCTAGCCATAGTGGTGCCTAAAATGTCTCAGTCAGTCCTGCTCTGTTTAGGTCTGATTAGACCACATAGGGTGTGATCGTTACTATTCTTTCAAACTTAAATTCACAGAGGAGACAACTCTCATCAGAATCACAAAATGTGTGGACCAGGCCTTCAAGAGTCATGCCTCATTTTTTAAATGAGGAGGAGTCCAAAGAGACCCCCTTCAAGACTGGTCCCAAATCAGCCAAGCAGAGTCAAAACTATGCAAAGTGGCTCTACTCCAGCACAGTACACTTTCCAGTTCCATGCCGACTTGCTAATTAAGAAAGCAATCAGGAGCAATGAACAATAAGGCGCTAAATTGTGTAGCACAGACTCTGTGGGTACTGCTTGTTTGAGAGGAGGCAGAGATAATTGGAGATGAAAGGGTCTGGGAAGACTTTGAGGGGAGCGAGAGTTTGGGTGTTTTTTTGGGGGGGAGACAGTCACACTATGTTGCCCTCAGTAGAGTGCTGTAGCATCACAGCTCACAGCAACCTCTAACTCTTGGGCTTAAGCAATTCTCTTGCCTCAGCCTCCCAAGCAGCTAGGACTACAGGCTCCTGCCACAACACCTGGCTACATTTTTGTTGTAGTTGTTATTGTTTAGCAGGCCTGGGTGGGGTTCAAACCTGCCAGCCCTGGTATATGTGGCTGGCACCCTAACCACTAAGCTATGGGCACCGAACCAGGATATTGAATTTGAACTGGACTTTGAAAATGAGACAAGATGTGGTGAGAAAGAGGCTCAAAGCCCAGAGGGAGTGGAGAACAGCTGAGGGAAGGCCCCAAGGCTGGAGGGGCCTGGTGGCAGAGGGAGGACAGTGGCTAATCAGAGGAAGATTGCAAGGGAGGATTGGAAAGGTCATCCAGAAAGCCTTTTGGAAGGTTCCAAATCTTAGGCTAAGAAGCTAGATTCAGGCACTAGGGGATTACTGGACGTTTTTGAATAAAGGAATAACTTCTGAGAGCTCAATTTAGGGAGAATCAGAAGAAGTACAGGGGAGAGGCCAGACAGGAGCTGTTGTACTTGTTTAGGTGTGAGGTAGCTTCAGGGTGGGTTATATGGGGGTATTCAAATTGCAGGATAGGACAGGAGCCTAACTGGAAGAGAAGGTAAGAGGGTTCCATTCCAGGGGGCTTAGTGGGGCTGACCTAGGGGCAGGTCAAGGGGAAAAGATCCTGCGTGGTAGAGAAGGCTAGGCTGCAAGCCATCCTCAATCCTTGGGTAAGTAAGAAGAGCACTGAAGGAAGGCAATATACCACAGAAGCCAGGGGCAGCAGGTTTTGAGGTGCCGAGCAGGAAGAGGACAGAGCCAGTGAGAGGCTATGGCCTAGGTGGCTGGTTTGTGGCTGCCATGGTAGGCAGGTCAAGCTGGCCAAGCCCTTGCTGTCTCCCAGAGCTCCCCCCAACACCAGCCTCCCCTCCCCTCCCCCTCCCAGGACATAGAGCATTTTCTTGGACGGCTTATGAAGAGTGATCCCCAGGGCCTTCACCGGATCCATGTGGATGGGAGCAGTAGGCGGCTGCAGCTGTGGCACCATGGTGGGGAATGCAGGAGCTGGACCCAGGGATCGAGGCTGGTACCCTGGGGAGGGACTGACCGGCAGAGGCTCCTCTGTCTCACGTTTTACTTTCCTTCCTGTCTCTTTTTTCCTCCTGACAGATTACCTCCTGGACCATTTCAGTGATGAAGAAACGACTGGACAGAGTAACAATGGCAAGAGGGCTGAGAGACTGGCCACATACTGTGGTCTCCGCAAGTCCTTCCTGTACCCTTCCCAAGGACCTGAGTCCTCCTGTCAAATCCCCTCTGCCTCAGCCTTTTCCTGTGCCCCAGACAGCCTGCTTCAGGTAGCCCTGCCCCAGAAGCTCCTGGTGACTGAGGAGGTGAGACTGTCAGAAATGTTCTTTCCGTCCCTGTATTCCCATCTTTATATTCTCCCCTAACCTGTACTTTTCATGACGCTTCTATACTGCTTGCCCCCTTTCATGTTTGATTTCCTTCTCCGTCTCTCTTTCTCTTTTCCTTTCACCTGCTTTTCTTCCTCTAGGAAGCCAACCGTCTGGCAGAGGAGCTGGTGGCTGAGGAAGAGCGCATGAAACAGAAAACAGAGAAGAAACGACTCAAGAAGAAGGTGGCTGGAGGGTGGAGAGAGAGGAGCCAAAGGGATTGATTAGGGTGGAGGGAAGAGAAAGCTTTGTGAGAACAGGAGAGAGCTCAAGGTGGTCTGGAGTGGATCACTTGCCAGGAGCTCATGGACTCAGGGAGCTCTCAGAGGCCATCTGGGGCAGTGACTCTGGAATCCTACTGTACTGCCTGGTTGGACTCTGCCCCCTTTCTGTGAGGCCTCTGGCTGGTGCTTCTCTTTTCTGCTTTTTACTTATAAAATGAAGATAATAATGCCTAACCTGTAGAATGTCAGGGATTAAATGAGATAGCACATGCAAACTCTTACCCAACAGGACAGTATAGAGTAGGCCCTTAAAATAGATCATCATCATCATTGTTATTGCAGCGTCAAAAAGAACGAAAGCGACAGGAACGCTTGGAGCAGGATTGTGGGGAGTCCAAGGTGAGTGTCTATAAGCAGGTACTAAGAGCACCAAGTGCCAGGAAGGTGAGCTAAAAGCAGCTCAAGTCAATGCTCCACTCTGTACATGTCCATCTTCCCACCAGGCCAAGGCTACCACAGATGGGGATGAGAGCCTTCCTTGTAGCTCTGGGAACCCAGCTGTGGGACAGTGTAATGAGGAAGAGGTGAGAGCCACTTTATTTCCCTTTTTGGTCTCTGCCTACCATCTCTTCTTCCTATTCTAGGATGTACTTCATCCACATTAGTTCCCTAACTTTCCTTTTTGCCCACAGGACTCACTGGATCTTTCTAGCACTTTCGTGTCTCTGGCTTTGCGGAAAGTTGGAGATCGGCTCCCCAGTACCCGCAGAGAGAAGAGACTAAGCCAGAAGGCCCAAGGCAGGGGCCCAGGCCCTCAGGAGAAGATGGATCAAGAGGAAGGGAGCCTTCCAAAAGAGGAGAGGCCTGGGCAGAGTCCTAAGGCACAGGTAGGGTTGGCAGAAGAACCTGGCTAAGCTAGAAGCAATAGAAGGGGCACCAGAAAGCACTAGGAAGACACATGATCCAAGGGTTGAGGGGTGTGCTCAATAGGAATTTTCTGGCCCTAGAGCCAAGATACCTGGGGTCAGTTTCTATCATTGTCACCATGACCTAGAGTTTCCTCTGTAGGAAGACAGGGCTAATATCATCTTGCTGGGCTGACATGAGAATTACGTGAGTTGGATGATACTAACTGCAATGTTATCTGTTTGAACGAGAAGGATTTGGGGGCACTGAGGCCTCGAAGCCTGCTTGACTCTGCTCCCCGTCCTCAGGCATCTCCAGAACTTCTAGGAGCTGCCTTACAGCAGAGCCAGGAACTGGCAAGTGAGATCCTTTCTCTCTCCCTCCTCACCCTACCCTCCCTAGAGTAGCCCCATCTGAATCTTGTCACCCTCTCTCCTTTCCAGAGTTGGGTACCAGCTTTGCTCAGAATGGTTTCTACCATGAAGCTGTGGTCCTCTTCACACAGGCCTTAAAGCTCAACCCGCAGGACCACCGGTAGGTGGGGGCTTGGCCACTATGCTGAAAGGTCAGGACAAGGCAGGGTGTTGAGGACTCTGACATTTGGACACCTTCCATCTTTTTCAGGTTATTTGGAAATCGTTCCTTTTGCCACGAGCGGCTGGGTCAGCCAATATGGGCCCTGGCTGATGCCCAGGTGGCCCTCACCCTAAGGCCTGGCTGGCCCCGGGGCCTGTTCCGTTTGGGCAAGGCCTTGATGGGACTACAGGTAATGGGTCTGACTCTGGAAACAGAGGAGGTTTCGGTGGGATGGGGTGGGGAGTGGATCTGCACTGATATTTTCCAAATGAGCTTCTAGTACCATCGCATCACAATGGCAGTGGTACTAGGAGCAGGGCCAGTTTGGGGAAGGGAGTATTTTAAGCTTCTTGACCTCCTGATACCTGCACTTTCCTCTCTCTAATCCCTCTGGAAACAAAGCGCTTTCAGGAGGCAGCTGCTGTGTTCCAGGAAACACTAAGAGGTGGGCCCCAGCCTGACGCAGCCCGGGAGCTCCACTCTTGCCTTCTCCAGCTCACTCTGGTAAGGGAGCCAGGCCCCTCTCATGCTGAGAGCACCTGGGACAATGGGCTGAGACTGCAGTGCTAAGGGGCACTATCTTCTCCTCAGAAGGGTAAGGGGACAGGAACAGGTGGGATGAGGGGCCTGAGTGGTGCTGTTTAAAAGGCGTATCGGGTGCTCCCCCCTCTCTCAGCAGGATCAGCGAGGAGGAATCTGTACACCACTTCCACCTGCCAATGTTGAGCTGGGAGCCTCAGGTCTGCTGCCTCTAAGTTGCCTGCCACGCACTGCTCGAGGGGCTTCTGCCCATCTGTCTCCACCCTTGCATTATTCCCCATGTCACCTGAGCCATCCCAATGGGCCCCTCCCTCAGATTCAGAATAGAAGACCCCACTTCTCCATCTCCAGGACCCTTCAAAGAGCTGGTGCATCCTGGGACTTGGGCCCAAGCATCTACCTCAGGCCAGGTGAAGAAGGACCTGACTCTCTTAGGGAAAAGCCATGTGTACATCCCAAAGGGATGGGGACACTGTGTGGTGACAGTTCACTGTGTATTTTGAGACCTTGTGCTCCAAATCCATAGTTGAGGGCCCTTGGGGCAAACATTCCTCTTGCCATGGAGAACTGCCTTAGGAGAGAAAGGAGCCCCATGTCCACTGAACATCCTTTTTGTGGTTCTCAAGTAGATGGCTGCTTCTGCAGGCAGTAAGGAAAAAAATAAATCTACCAAGTCTCAAGAAGGAAACTTCAGAAGTCCAGGCTTTTAGACTACAGCACAGCCACCAAGAAGGCACCTGGGGAGTGCTCTGCCTCTTGGCCCTCAAGTACTCCTTTATAGCTAGAGCTCTGTGCTCAGGAATGAGGTCACAGCAATGAGACCTGTATCTCCCCTTGCAACATGGTGGACACTCACTTCTTCCTGAGCCCAGTTCTTGCCCTGTTTTCTCTATAGGACCCAGTTTGCTCCTGGAACCTCCTGCCCTCTTTCCTGTCCACATTGGCATGCACACTCGGACCTTTCCTTTGTCCAGTGCTCTGATGCTCATCTCCTCCCACTGTTAGAGAAATCATGAAGGGTTTGCATTTGTGAAGTCTCTTACCAGATCCTACCTGAAGGTGGCAGGGCCATACTTCTCCACATTCCCAACTGCTAGGTTCTGGTTGGCACTCAGGCTACTGCTACCTTGACCACTCTCTTTCTCTGCCCCAGCACTGGGCATTGTAATCAGCCTTTCCACATGTGAATTTACTCAGTTTTTCACCAAGGGTCACTGCCCCAAAGTGACCTATTTCCTATGTAAGAATCATGACCTTTTGATTTCTCCTCTAAGATCCTGGCAACTCCCCCTGGCTTACTCCTCCTGGGACTCTCAGCCCATTTAAGTATGGATCTGCAGGGCGGCACCTGTCGCTCAGTGAGTAGGGTGCTGGCCCCATATACTGAGGGTGGCAGGTTCAAACTCGGCCCCAGCCCAACTGCAACAACAACAACAACAACAAAAATAGCTGGGCAGCTGTAGTCCCAGCTGCTTGGGAGGCTGAGGCAAGAGAATCACCTAAACCCAAGAGCTAGAGGTTGTGGGTGAGCTATGATGCTACAGCACTCTACAGAGGGTGATAAAGTAAGACTCTGTCTCTTAAAAAAAAAAAAGTATGGATCTGCAGAGGACTTTTATCCTCCTTCCATACCTTTTACAGATGAGCCATTCATCTAGCTGACCTATGGGTATTGCTCAATATTGTTCACATCTGGAGCAAGATGTTGAAACATCTTTAACACAAAAATTTTCCCAAATGTTTTTATAGTTTTATGGTTTAAGCCCCTTAAATACTGCATAGCAGCTTGGCACCTCTGGCTCAAGCGGCTAAGGCGCCAGCCACACACCTGAACTGGCGGGTTTGAATCCAGCCCAAGCCCACCAAACAACAGTGATGGCTGCAACCAAAAATAGTCGGGCGTTGTGGTGGGCACCTGTAGTCCCAGCTACTTGGGAGGCAGAGACAGGAGAATCGCTTGAGCCCAGGAGTTGGAGGTTTCTGTGAGCTGTGATGCTATGACACTCTACCTAGGGCAACAGCTTGAGGTTCTGTGTCAAAAAAAAGAAAAACTTTTATATATATAAAAGTATATATATATATGTATAAGTATATATATATATATGCTGCATAGCAGGATGAAGTCTACCATTACTAAATGAGTCACCTTAGACAAGTCTCTCAACATCTAAGCCTCAATTCCCTCATATGTAAAAATGAGGGTAATCCCTATCTCACAGGGCTGTTGTGAGAATTAAAAGAGAAAGTATGAGGAAATACCTATCAAGTGCCTGGTACATAGTGGGTGCCAAATAAACCAATTTTTATTTGCAGCTGTCCTACATATTTGTGCTTCCCATAGTGGGAAGAGAGAGGTATGAGTGAATTACTGCTTAACTTCACAAAATCCAGAGTTCCTGTAACTGTCATTCTCAGGTGTGGTCTCTGGACCAACATCATCTGGCACCACCCAAGAACTTCTTATAAATGCACATTCTCAGGCCACACCACCCTAATTTAAAAACATTGGGGGAGGGGCCCAGCAATTTGTTTTTCAATAAGCCCTCTGGTGCACACTGTCCTAGAGCCTAGCAGCAGCCAGCGTCCATTCAGAGGCCACTTTGGTGGGACAGAGTTGAGTTTTGTTAATCTAAGTCTAGACTACAAGAGACAGAAGTGCTAGCTGGGCTAGAATGTAGGAAACCTCACGTGGGGGGGATTATAATTCAGGACCTACCCTCTTAACTAGATTTGCTCTAGGAGTTCTTTGCTCATCTGAGAGTAGGTAGTTGTGTTTAAGTGATGATTATATTACAGTGGCTCCATAAGAGGCCTGCTCACCTGGCCTTCCTATTTTGGGGGGCAGGGGACCTGTGTGCTTTGGGGACTTCCCTAGGGCTCCTGTTCCCGCAAAGAATGGCCATGTGCCGCTACTGTGTGGAGTGTTTTCTCTAGACTGCACTAGCTCCTTGTTCTAACTTCTCAAGTAAATGTTCCTTCCTCAGCACCTCTTAGCCTGCGCCAGACTCGAATCTTCTCTGAGAGCCTTGTGACTACTGAAATCTTGCCCCTATTCTGCCCTGCTCTCACCACTCCTAATGGATGGGGTTCTGACCCCAGGTCCCTAGGGCTGGAAAGTACTATGATCCAACCATCCTGGTTTTCCTGGGACTGAGGTGTGGGATTTGGAGTGCTAACACTGGAGAAGAGCTGGGCAAAGAGAAGAGAGCTGATCACCCTACTGGAAAGGTACCAATAAGGGAGGGCCCCCACAGGACCCAGGGGTGGCATATATGTTATATGTGTGTATTGTAGGGGGAATGCAGTTGCAAAGTATTTTTTTGTACATAATGTCTGACAGATTCTTAGCTCTACAACAGTGATTATTGTCTGTTTCTGTCCATTATGCTGTTTTTCTTCCAGTTGTCCATGTTTGCTAGATTGTCACTGACCCATGCAATCCCTGGTCAATGGGGGAATCACTGATTCCTCTTCTGTGACCACTTTCCTGCCCCACCCCCCAAGTCTGGCCCTGTATTCATTCTCTCTGCTCTTTCCTTCTGTAGTGGCCAGAGATAAACTTCCTTCCTCAGGTCTCTGCCAGTTGCTGGTCCACCCTGGATGCATAGGCAGATTAGCCTGCCCTAAATGTTGTTCTCATCTCTTTTCTCTAAAACCACAATGACACACTCTGTTTACAGTACACAGCCTAAATTTCCCCATTGGCCCTTCTGCTCTCCTTTCTCTGCACATCTTTTGCTTTTCTCAGTTAGGTACAGTTCTCTTCACAGGGACAGAACCGGTAGGGGCCAAAAGCATGTGCTCCTGAGTCAGACAAGCAAGTAGGTTAGTCCCACCACTTACAAACTGCATGACCTGGCCAAGTTGCCTCAGGCTTCTGTGATTCAGTCTCATCCTTAAAATGGGAATAAAAGTTTGTCCTCTTGGAGGATTAATCTACACAAAGCACTTGGAACCACTCAATTAGTGGTAGTTGTCTGAAAAATGCCAGGTTCCTTTCTGCTTCCAACCTTGTTCACTGTCCCTGAAATATCTTTTCTTGGGTCCTCCACCTACATGAGGCCCTAGCTGACCTGCCTTGAACTCCCAGAGCATCCCTGAAAGAGGAGTTGTCATACCTGGGCACAGGCAGAGGAAGATCTGAGAACAACCAGGAGGACTTGGAAGAAAGAGAAGCCAGAAAGATGCTTAAGCTTGGTCTCCTGAAGATGGCTGGGATTGCTAAGAATGGGGAAGCCCTGGAGCTACCAAGTGTTTTCCTTCCCTCCCCATCACACTGCAGGACAGTGATTAATCAGCAGAATACATGAATATCAGAAATGTCCCTGGTAGGAGCTAGGCTGTGGTCCCTACTGAGTACAGCTGCTACCCCCAGCTTCACCTCAGGGAGCCAGGCCTTCCCCCCTCCCATTGCTGTCACTGTCCTGGTGGGAACATTTTCAGCTCTGGAGATCTGCGAGGTAGAGATGTGCCCTCTCTTGGCATCCATCACTTTTCCTGTGTCCTGGTATAGGGTTCTTTTGGTAGGGTGAAGAGAAGTGTCAGACTCTGTTAACAGATGGAGTTACCGAAGGCTTTTCCTTACCTAAGGAAAGTGGAGAATCAGGCACCATGTCCTCATGCTAGGGTGGGCCTAGGGCCAGCCTAGAGGTTTAGAAGCAAGGTCTCTGAAGAGGTGGTTGATCAGAGGCCAAGTGGAGTCCAGCAACAAAAGGTGTCCAGTTAGCGGGCCAGACACCTCACTGCAAGGTGTCTCCTGAGCTGTAGGTTCAAATGCACTGGCTCTGAAAGCTGGCTGGATGCTAGCTCCAAATCCTGACCTCTGGGTCTTTCCTTTGTTAAATGGGTGTAATTGTCACCTACCTTATAGAGTTGCTATGAGGGTTAAAGGAAACACCACTGTTTAAGATAGCACAGTGCAAGGCAGGGAATCTCTGCAATAATCCTCAGATTTTTGTTGTTACTGGCACCGGGCGGGAGTCTGGATTTGGGCGTCGTTTGGTGTAGTCTCAACTTTACTCCCAACGATTAGGAAAGGTGAGGCTGGGAGCAGTGGCTCACACCTGTAACCCTAGCACTCTGGGAGGCTGAGGCGGATGGATTGCCCTGAGCTTACAGATTCAAGACCAGCCTAAGCAAGAGCAAGACATTTGTCTCTAAAAAATAACTGGGCATTGTGAAAGGTCCCTGTAGTCCCAGCTACTTGGGAGGCTTGAGGCAAGAGAATTGCTTGAGCCCAAGAGTTTGAGGTTGCTGTGAGCTGTGATGCCACAGCACTCTATGGAGAGTGACAAAAGTGAGACTCTGTCTTATGAAAAAAAAATTAGGAAAGGTGGACACCTAGACTGCAGGCCAGAAGAGGTCTGAATGGAGCTCCTCTCTCCACCTTGGAATGCAGATAAGAGGCAGAGGTGAGGAGCCTGGGGTCCCAGAGCCCAGGGTTTGCAGCGGCTTAGTTTTCAATCATCCACCTGTATCTCTTCGTCTGACAAGTGGACCCCGGAGTCAGGCCCAGAGGGGCTGAGACCGAGGCCAGGGCCCAGGCCTAGGTCTGGAGCGCCGTTGGGCAGTCCCAGACGGCACAGAACTCCGGGGGACAACGCTCGTAGCGAGGCGACGTCTGCGCGCATCTCCTCCACGTCGCGCTTGAATTTGGCGCGCCGGTTCTGGAACCAAGTGACCACCTGCGCGTTGGCCAGTCCGAGTTGCGTAGCCAGCCCATCGCGTTCGGATGGTGCGAGGTACTTCTGGAAGACGAAGCGCCGCTCAAGCTCTAGCACCTGCTGCGCGGTGAACGCTGTGCGGGACTTGCGGCGTTTGCGGCCGGCAGGGCCAGGGCCCAGCGTTTCGGGGCCTGCCCGGCCTGCGGGGATAGGACGGAAGTTAGTCTCCAGCCTGCCAGAATCAGGCTGTGGCCCCCGAGGAAGAGCTGCGGGTGGGATCAAGAAGGTTGGGAGTGGGTTAGGAAGGGAGCCAGGAAGGCGAACGAGGACCAGAACTAAGATCCTTCACGGACGCGCAGGTTTAAACCGAGGTAAATGTAGGGGGCGCCGAGCAGGGCGAGCTGCTGGGGTACCCGAGCTAGTAGGCTCAGGGCGTGTTGCGGAAGCCGAGGAGCAAGAGAAAGGTCGGACAGGCCAGAGGAGACTTGGAACATGGTCAGACCATCTGGGGAGGGGCCTTTGAGGCCTTCTGGAGCCCTAGGCTTAGTGGGCTTGTAGGCTGGAGGGAGGATGGTGTTGGGAGTAAGAGTAGGGGCAGCTAACTCCGTATGGTAAGGGTAACAGGACCTGGATCAGTGCCCTTCGTTGGGTCATGGATTGTACTGGGCATTCGGTTTACACTTTCTTGATGACACTAGCGCCCTCTCCGCAAACCCAAAAATGGAGATAGTGTTGGTATAGAAAGTGAGGAAAGTCAGAGTGTGGAGTCCCGTGCCAATGCTGGGCAAAATTCCCTGTGCTTCCTGCAGTAGAAAGGGGCTTGAATCAGAGCTTGGTCGCCCTGAGAGACCCAAGCCTCGCCTCGCAGAGTTTTCCGAGCAGACCCTGCCCGGGAGTATTAGTGTGCGGCAGTGGCCCAAGCCTTTTGTCTCCTCGCTAGCCTTTCGCTGTCGCAATTGCCCCACCTACAGCGAGCCAACCAACAGGTCGCTCAATTCTCGACAGCACAGCCCTTCCTCATGGTGCTGGCTACCTCTGCATACCACCGCGGAGCTGGGGAACTAACCGAGAAGTGAGGGGCCACAGGTGCGAGTCCTGGCACTTGGGCTGAGGGCAGGGGGTGGATTAGGATGGCCGGACTGCGGTGGGACGAAGGTTTGAGACAGGGAACCAGCGGGGAGAGGTAGGGAGAAGGCCAAGTCAGAGTCCTCGACCTTAGCCGTGCTGTACCTTCGGAGGGCTGCCGAGCGCTCCCGTCAAGACCATGGAAAGTTTTACTGGTCAGCTCCTCCAGTGCGCACAGCGGTGAAGAGGGACTGGGACCCGATTCTGGAAGCTGCGGGTCAGAGGATGCTCGGGGGACCATGCGCGGGCCTAGGATGTCTGCGATGCTGAAGGGTGTCCGAGGTGTCCGTTGCTCGTGTCCTGAGTTCATGGCCGGCCGGGCTGTGGCGGTCCTGCTGCGAGTTGCTCTCGGCGCTGTAGTCTCCGCAGCCTCCTGGGCCCCAGCGCTCCGCTCCTGATCCGGGCCCCCAGCCTCGGACCCGCCCCCGGCGCTGGGCCTGAGCCCTGTGTGCCCCTCCTCCCACTTCCCCACCTCTCCACCGGGGGCCGCGGTGGGACCGCAGCCGGTAGAAACCAGCGAGCGGTATTTCTACAGGCGTAACTACCCACCAGACCAGGGCTGCGGGCACCGCCGGGTGTGCACTCAAACTGAGCCCATTTCCCCAGACTTTGTGTGCCGCCGACTCCCCGCCTAGCCGCCGCTCCGGCTCATAAATTCGCGGGCGATAAAATTGCTTTCCCTGGCCTCAACAGCAGGGGATTTGCAAAGTTCCGAAGAGAAAGGCATCGGCGCCGACTGTGCTAGGGTTCCTTACACCAGCTAGGACCTCAGTCTCCTAACCTAGCCACCTTGTCCCCACCCCAAACCTGTAAAATGCTCTTACAGAACCTGAAAGTGATTAGTGACAAGCGGGGTGGAGAGACACTAGACTTGGGAGGACTGGCCTAGAAAAGTGACTGCAACTGGGAATAGTGGGGTTGCCAGGAGGAAGCAAGCACAGGTGACACAAGGCCGCCCCACCACTGCTTAGAGGCCCTGACTAAATCAAAACACGTGGAGAAGCTGCCAGAGACCTAAGCCTCAGGAGAGAAGACACAGCAAACCCAGAATTAGAGCAACTGCCCAGGAGGGGTCTTTGTCAGTGAGGACTGGAAAAAATACGTTAAATTTGTATGTCTTTATCTTTTTGTTAAGTTCCTATAGTTCACGTATGGTTTCCTCAGCCTTTAGAGGCTCAGAAACAGCCAAGGGAAGCAAGGGGCCTCCGACCAGTGAGGGGGTCACTCCCCACAAAATAGTGACTTGAAAGGCAGACTTCCCAGATCCAACCAGATTATTGGAAAGGCACCCCTGCCAACCCAGGCACAACTCTGAGGCCTGATATAGTCATTCCTACTTTCTCTGTATTCTGTCTTTCTTCTCTTCCACACCCGTTCTGGTCCTGGGTAAGCACCCCACAGCCCTCCAGTGTAGGAGAAGGCAGCACTGGAGGTTCCAGCAACGCAGGCTCAGCGGGATAATGGGTTTTCTTCCTACATTCCACCCGCAAATAGTTGGAGGATTCACAGCCCAAAGGCAGAGAAGCTGTGCCACTCCCACCAGTGGGAAACTGATGTGCTTCTAGAGTTTATATTATTTTATTATTTATTTATTTATTTTTGGAGATAGAGTCTCACTTTGTCATGCTTGGTAGAGTGCCATGGCATCATAGCTCACAGCAACCTCAACCTCTTGGGCTTAAGTGATTCTCTTGCCTCAGCCTCCCAAGTAACTCAGACTACAGGCGCCCACCACAATGCTAGGCTATTTTTAGAGATGGGGGTCTTGTCCTGGCTCCAACCTGTGAGCTCAGGCAATCCACCCACCTTGGCCTCTCAAGAGTGCTAGGATTGCAGGCGTGAGCTACTGCGCCTGGCCTCTAGGATTTTTTTTTTGAACAGTGCCACAAAGAAGCAGGCCAGTCCTTCCTGAACTGTCTATTATGTCACTTTCCCCATATCCCTGTAGACCTCTGTATCTCCTACAATTAGTACTGTGGTCCTCTGGGTCTACCTATCTATTCTCTGGGGCAAGTGAAGCCTGCAGTTGTTGGGGTGCCCCAAATAGGGCTTAGGAGATCTAAGGCACCTGGGCCAAAGATTCCCCTTAACAAGGATGAACGGGCTCCCTACAACCCCCTCATCCCTCAGACATCCGGACATTCAAATGGTGCCCTCGCAGTGCCCTGAGCAACACACTGGAAGCCTGATGGGCCACTGCTGGTTGAAAGAGCAGAGCCAGGCCACAGTGGAAAGCTGAGCTGCCTCAGAACCTCATTAATTGGTTATTAATGGTGAGGGGTGGGGGAGGCCTGGAACAACCCTCCTGCCTGCAGGCCTCAGCCCTCAGAGCCATCCTTGTGGTTTCACTTAATCTGCAATTAAAGCAGCTCCCGGGAGATAGCAAGAACTGCTCCACCACATCCCAGGCATGTCACTATGCAGACACTGTGACCTTCACTTGTGCATCATCTATGTGGCTTTTATGTCTGTCTGTATTTCTGCTCTCAATTACTTATGTGTATCTGTGAGGAGTGTGGGACTCTCTTGATGGGCCTTTGCATTCCTCCCCTTCCATGTCTCCGGCTATGTTCTCCCCTGCACAGCTAGGGCCAAGTACTGGGATTGGACTGTCCTCAAACGTAAGTTTGGGGAGGAGTAGAAAAAGTAGACTAGTAGAGGTAGGAGGCTCAGAACAGGAGAGGCCCCCTGCTAAGGTCATCACAGCAGCCATGGACTATTCCAGACAATTGTGGGGCCACAGAAGGGGGGTTTTCCCAGTGAAGTCTCTGGAACCTGAGCTGGGGTGAAACCAGATCCACAGAGGGGGGTAGGAGGAGGGTGAGTGATTAATGATGTAGATTAAGAGATTAAACTTGGAGGGGGATGCTCAACTGTCTCATAGACTTCCCTCCACTGCAGGTTGGGAATGTTGAAGCTCCCACATGTTCAATCACTGGGAATCTCTTCTGGCAGCACCTTCCTGCCTTGGTTTAGGTCCTTCTCAGGAGATCTACAGACTGGAGCCTTCATGCTGCCTGGAGAGTCCCTTCTCTGGTTTTCCTTCCCTGTCACCCTCATGCAATCTGTCATGTCTCTCACCTTCTCAGATTCTTCTTATTATTCCTTCATCCATTTTGGGGTCAAGCAAGCTCTCTCTCCCCTTATAGAGATCTCCACATTCCAACCTTCACTCCTTTGGAAAGGGACCCCAATTCCCATTTTATAATTCTTTCTCACACCTCCCTGCATCACCCCCTTTCAGGATTCCCATTCTTATTCCCCCCACCCCAGCCCTACTCCCACCTTAGGTCTCTTTCCCTACACTCCACCTCTCACTCTCCGGTTCATCTATCTGGGCGTCTCAGCTCCACCCACCATACTCCGGTCTAACTGAGGCCAGTTTAAATCTCCAGATTGTCTGCCCCAGGAATTCCACTGAATTCTGTGAGCGTTTGTGTATGGGGGCTTGGAGGACCCTCAGAATAATCCCCTTGGGGAAGTGGACAAGGACAATCCTAGAGTGCTTATCCTCGGGCCCCCCTCCCTATCCTTAGGAAAAAAATCCTTGCACCAGGGTGGAGGGAGTGGGAGTTAAGGGAGGAAAATCAGTCCCCTGACCATAGGGTGGGGTGTTTATCCATCTGGCACACTTCTGGGATTATCTCTTTCACAATAGGTTGGGGTTGGCCGAACCGATTGAGACATTAAAATTTTAAGTTTCCTTACTTTTGGCCTGGCGGGTTTGGTGCGTTCTCTTCAGCTCAGTACCCTGGCTCGCAAAGAGCTCTGCTTACCCACCGCCATCTCGAGCGTGTGGAGGCTGGGACGCCGCAGAGGCTTCGAACTCAGACCCGCGCCCCCACACCCCTTCCGCTGAGACTCGCTGTTCTCCGCAGTCCTTTCCTCCGTCTCCTCCCTCCAAGCCCTGGGGGCGACTGGCCTGGCTGACGGAGGGACCTGTTCTCCTCTGTGCCGAGACCAGCACAGGCAAATTCTTGTGCTTGTTCGCTAGGTGAGCGTGAGCCGCGGAAATGGCAGGGATGAAAACGGCAGGCAGGGTCAGGGCAAGGGTGTGTTTGGTGTAGACTGATTCTTTCTCCAGGAAGCTCAGCGAGGCCAAGGCAGCTCCGGGGATGGGGGACTGCGCCTCGGGGCGACCCTGTCGCTGCTCCATTTTTGCCCCCAGAGCACATTCGGGTGCGTTCTGGGCCGCGAAGCCCCGCGTGATCGCCCACCCTGGCACAGATGAAGACTCGCAGGACCCTGGTTCAGGGTGAGAGGGAGGAATGGATCCACAGGCCAGGGGCAATGCCCGAGCCGGCAGCTGGTCAGCATCAGCCAGCTCAGGAGACGCGCCGCAGCTGCCGCCGCCACCGCCGCTGACAGACTAAACCAAGGCTGGTTTCGGCGGAGCTGCGCGGAGGCGAAACAGCCACTCCACCCGAGATCCGGGCCTGAGTCCTACCGCTGCTGCTTGGCCTCGGGCATGTTCCATCAAAGGCTTCATTCAACCCAAGGGGGGATGGTCTTCAGGCGTCGGGGCCTCGGACTCACCAATCTTCAGATCTGGCTTTTTAGGTGCCGAGCTGCCGCTAAGCCCCAATCCGAGGGCCTTCAGAACAGACCTAGTCGGGCTGCTCCCTGACTCCTGCGGCTGCTTGGCAGCTGGAAAGTCCCCGTGGGCGTTTCTACTCTCCCTCCCACAGCCCACACCGTTCCCCTCAGTCACTCCTAGAAGATGCTAATTTTTTGGCACAAACTTTCTAAGAACAATAGCGTTGGCTTGGCGCCTGTAGCACAGCGGCTAAGGCGCCAGCCACATACACCAGAGCTGGCGGGTTCGAATGCAGCACGGACCTGCCAAACAACGACAACTACAATCAAAAAATAGCCAGGCATTGCGGCAGGCGCCTGTAGTCCCAGCTACTTGGGAGGCTGAGACGAAGGAATCACCTAAGCCCAGGAGTTGGAAGTTGCTGTGAGCTGTGATGCCATAGCACTCTACCAAGGGGCGACAGCTTGAGGCTCTGTCTCAAAAATAAAATAAAATAAAATAATAAAGAACACCAGCGTGTGCTCAGTGAGGGAGGAAAAAAAAAAAGGAGAGAGGAGCCTTAAGATAAATGTAATCCAAAATCTCCAGACGTGTGCTAGAGGGGCAGGCTCAAAAGTGACAGAAGCCTGGCTGGGGCGGTGGCTCCAGCCTGTAATCCTAGCACTCTGGGAAGCCAAGGCGGGTGGATTGCCTGAGTTCACAGATTGGAGATCAGCCTGAGCAAGATCAAGGCTCATCTCTATAAATAGCTGGGCGTTGTGGTGGGCCCTGTA